AAATAAAACATGTAACCTCCGTCTGCGCCAGCATTACGTTGGCCAGATATTATTATTAAAATGATATTTTTAATAAATAAAATGTGTGAATTAGGTAACGGTCAGTCTCTACTCAACATCTGAAGATAGCGTTGTGCATGAAACTTAGGGTTTTGCTATCGGTGAGGATTAATATGTATATTTATTAATATATACTTAATAACACTGTTATATTACATCGAGCGCAATTTTATTAATACCATCACTCAATGTGCGATATAAGGCATCCGTCTATCTCGCTACACTTTAGTTCTTTGGGCGTGATAATGGAGCCACCACTCCAGGGCAAAATGACAGGTGATGCTATATGGAGATCGGATGCTGTGTAACCAACATGACCGCCTCTCGGCTGTAGAGACAAGATTCAAAAGAGTATATCGATGATTACCTTGTGAGCCGTCTTGGCTGAAGCGGTCGACGGAATATTGCCAGCATCGACAATCAAACATTTTTCTTAGTGCTTTGCTTTGGATTCGCTGTCTAGATTTACTTCCATAGCCTTTTCCGTATTTGGATATGACCTCGAGGCTTTTACCGGTAATGCTGATGAAGAGGCTACATTGGTTTTCGTAAATATGGAAATGGATTTTATTGCAATAGTTATTGGCCCGGAAATTGGACCCGTCAATCTATTTTCTAATTCCTGTGTAGTTTGTTTTGGATCCATGGGAAATATATGAATCACTGCTTTATCCTTCTTCTAACGGTTAATAAGGATATATAGCTTTGGGTTACCAAAGTTACATATCGTTATCTAACAGGATGAGAATATCTGTATTTATCCCAATTACAGTATTTTCCGGCTTACAAGACACTGCGGCATGGAAGACGCACTCTAATATTGGAAAGAAATTTCTAAGAAGAAAAAGTCCTTCTCGTAGAACGACACATTCACCATACGTCTCTCACAAACTGGAACCATGTATTGTTTACATTAATCACTCATTCTATTTTGATCGTATGGCAATGACACACTTGTCAAGCGATTGCTAGTAAACAGATCATGTTTAAACTTGTGGCTCGGCTCCCGGAAGGTTAATAGTCTTGGAAATATTTGTAATAGCCAAGTACTGAGGTTACATCATATAAAAAGGCTGAATTATATATATATATATATATATATATATATATATATATATATATATATATATAGATAGATAGATAGATAGATAGATAGATAGATAACATTATTTGGTAATGACTCACCAAATCCACGTCCCTATCATTTAGATTAATCACTCATTCGATTTTGATCGTATGGCAATGGCATACTAGTCAAGAGCAGAAGGACTACCGCGGTTGCTAGTAAACAGATCATGTTTAAACTTGTGGCTCGGCTCCCGGAAGGTTTATAGTCCTGGAAATATTTGCAATAGCCAAGTACTGAGGTTACATCATATAAAAGGCTGAATTATATATATATATATATATATATATATATATACATATATATATATATATAGATAGATAGATAACATTATTGGGTAATTACTCACCAAATCCACGTCCCTATCAGTCAACCCAGTTAGGTGAGCGTCCAAGCTTACTTGATTATCGGCGTTGCTTTACATTCGTCTTGTAAGACGGACAGGTATTTTTCGCGGTATTTTTAGGAAAAAAAAAGGTGCGCCCTGTAAGCCGAAAAATACAGTACATCGTTCGGATTGTTATCGTCATCTTTCATGGCATATTCACGAGGCTTTGGCCATTGTACGACCTTCTTCAGGTGATTTACGTTTCCAATTTCGACCCGAAGGATTTATTTAGTCCAGGGGGGTGTAGATCCCACGTTTTATGCCATTTTTGGATATCTCAGTTTTATTTAATTCCCTCCAGCGACTCAACTCCAATCGTCAGCAGCTGATGTGAGTTGTTTTGGGGCTCGACTATTTATATATGCCGGTCAATGTTGTATTATTGATAGATCTATAGTATTATTCTGACGATTGCGTTTAATCGTGAAACAGACTGTTGTTGCTGGGTGTTAACCTCAATTTCCACATTTATATTTAAATACGCTCTATCCTAATATTGAGAACAAATATTATATATATATATATATATATATATATATATATATATATATATATATATATATATATATAAAAAAAAAAAAATTATATAGAGAGGGACAAAAATTTATATATATATATATATATGTAAGCAAATATATGGATATAAATCCGACAGTATGAAGAAAAATATATACGGAAAAAACAAAACAAAAACCCCTATATACAATTATGCAGTTTTAATGTTAATATGTCAACGTCAAAACTTTCAGTTATTTGTTTGGATAAGTCTTGTTCTTATGTACATCGTCTTTGTCATGTTGTATTGATAATGTTATATTTATGAATATGTCCTGAAGATGGTTTATTAGACCGAAACGTCCGAAGTTGACATATTAACATTAAAACTGCATAATTGTATATAAGATTTTTGTTTGTTTTTTCGTATACTTTTTTTCTTCACATATATATATATATATATATATATATATATATTTTTTATTATAAGCGATTATATTTAAAGCATGTTGATATCACTACAGAAAAGCTTTCATGTTTTAATACTATAATTGTTCTTCAAGTGATGGTAAGTAAATGGTGATTTTTAAGGAAATTTAAACCAAACTTTTACCTCTTTTCCGAAAGATAAAGGAACGGGACATAAAGTCAGAATTATAAATAGACTTGTGGGTATGACTTGATTAACCAAGTAAATGTCTGATCTTCAAACAGAAAAGTATACTAAGAGGTAGGAGGTGGTTGAGTTATTTCTTATGACATGATAAACCGGAACATAAATATGGCATCATTAACGATTGCAGAAAATTGTCAGCATGTGTCACTATATATATATATATATATATATATATATATATATAAATAGATTACAATAAAAATATTTTACATCGTTACACAAAAAGCTTTCATGTTTCGGACCTTTAATACTTCCTCTTTGGGTAATGATAGATAACATATGATAGAAATGGTTTATCCGGGAAATTTGAAAGCAAATTGTTTTGAAAGTTAAAAGTGGGTAGGCCTAAGGTCAGAATTAAAATATATATATATATATATATATATATATATATATATATATATATATATATATATGTGGCCATCTCTATTGAATACCCGCTCGGGCCGGTGGCTAGGATCAAAGTGTAGTATCTGCGCTTTTTGAGCTGCCGGGTCGGGTGTCTGCCGAACTCTTTGCTTGCAGAGAGGAACCCGGACGAAGCTCCGCCGAAGGGTGGGGTTTCGTTGGGGAGGTTGACGGAACTAGCCCTTGGACGGGTTTAGATGGGTTTTATTTTTGGCTGGGCCTACGGGCTCAGAGATACCCACATTAAAAAGGCCTTGTGCCACATTCGATCCCCGTGGGTGGATTGATAAACACCATCTCTAGGTTAGCCAATTAAAAGTCAGATGTAAGCTAATATACAAAAATGATAAATAAGTTCAGAAGGTGGGGGTAGGTGACTTTTAAATTCCTGTTATGATAATTTGACACTCTAGACATGTCAGCAACAAACATATGTAGCCAAATATAGAGATTAGATTAGTTGAAGTATACATACATTGACCAAAAGAATTTTTAAAATTTTTATACCCAGGAAACTTCTTAAACAGGCCGATAGGTGAAGTTTAAAAAAAAAAAAAAAGAAATATTTATATACAATGCTAATTATATTGAATGGACGGTAAAACATGGCAATATTAAAGTTGAAAAATCAAATAAATATTGAGTGGATAATTATATACTAAGATAATGGCTATGTAATTCTAAAGCGCAAATTATTTATTTATATCTTAATTTAAAAGCTCTTCAATGAATACATTTCTTTGGTTTAGTAAAACTTTATTGCTAGGTAACTTTATGATATGCAGCTTTTCCTGTAAACAGAGGGGACATGGGTCGTATAAGGATTTACAGATTACTTCTTTTTTTTTTTAGTATTTTGCATTTTACCGTAGGAGTTTTATCAATTTCTTTTAAATGCCAAAAATATTTAGAATATATATATATTAATGCATGTTTCATTAAATAATTTAGACAAGTTTTGTCTATTTATTTTAAGCAAATTCCTTTCATATCGTTTGATAGTCTTAATATAATTATCATTGAAGGCGAAAGAAAATCATCATAAGTTTTTTTAATATTATCTAAGCTTTCGGCTTACATAAGCCACCATCAAAGATAACAAGTACATTACAATAAATTAAACAATACACGTACACAGCAATATTGATAGTCTGTTTTGTTTGCATGGACGATTTCCAAGCAACGACAAACACGTGCATACGAGACACTAGAAGCGAAATTCACAAAGCGGCCCATGACATCACACATGACCATGCGAGAGTGAAAATACACAATATATATATATATATATATATATATATATATATATATATATATATATATATCTACATCATATATATATATATATATATATATATATATATATATATATATATACTGCCAATTCAAGAAAGACATTCGGATTACTAACACAAAAACAGAGAACGTCTCATATCGAGAATGTTTAACATTGAAATCCATAAGGAAAAAAAAAAATATATGGAAAAAAAGACGGTCGAGAGACCAGAAACGCGTGTTGTAAAATTATGGAAAAAAAAAAGTATAATATTTAAAAAAAAAACAAAAAACTCCACATTACAACCAAAAACGTTTGCGACACCTTTCTTTTCTTCTTTTTAATATACACACTTTTCTCTCGTTGGAACCACTATAACCTCTTTCCTTTACTTACACACACACACACAACACACACACACACACACACACACACACACATATATATATATATATATATATATATATATATATGTGTGTGTGTGTGTGTGTGTTATTTGTCTCTCTAGATAACATTGCGTTTTTTATTATTTCAAACAATGATGGTCCTTTTGTATTGTCCTTCTATAATACACTTTTATTTAAATGTATTAAAATGTGAATTAAACTATATGAAAACGTAAATTTAGCTATATTTAAGCTAACAGTTTTCTTTTCACTGTTTCTTGTTCATTTAAGCCACAGTCGAATGAAAAAAATGTTATCTTCAACCATTCGTTTTAACTTCTAAAATCCTACAGAAACCATCACAAGAGCTAAAGTATTGTGAATAAATCAGCAAAATTCACCGGGAAATGTCAGATACACGCATAGAATTGGTTAATGGAAAAGACCAGTTCTGTATGAAAAAGATATTATGCATGTCTTGCAAAAGACTCCGCAGAAATTAAACAACATGAGCTTCGAAAATCTACATCATTAGACGACGCTCAGACTGACTAACTTTTAAAAATATCACGATATTTTCTCTTACCACTAAGCAACAATGCGAAATGCATTCATCACTTGCATGGTTGCACAGTTTTTGTTTTACTACTGCAATAAATAGACCTGTTTATTGTTGGCAAAAATGGATGAATTCTAATGTTGATAATTTCGATTAATAAATTTTATTTCTGGTAAGATATATGGCTTTAAAATTGATGGCTAAAAAACTCAATTATTTTGTCGTCAACCTAATTATATATATATATATATATATATATATATATATATATATATATATATATATATACACATATATATATATGTGTATATATATATATATATGCGTACATGTGCGTGTGTTAGTGCGTGTGAGTTTGCGTGAGTGTGTGATTATCTACAGTCAAACCCATATTCAGTTTGAACTGTAAAATATATCTGATGACATTTCGGTAAAACTGACAGATCAATAATAAACTTGCAATGATAAAAAGCATATGATCCGTCTGAGAGGCGATTACATGGAAGATATGATATTGGATGTGGTTGAAGCACGAAGATCCGATTTGGAATGGTGGTGGGGGGGGTGAGGGCAACGGAATTGAAAGAAGCGAAAGAATGGAACGATGGAGACAGTGAAGAAAGGGAAGGTGTCAGAAAGCGAGAAGAATAAGGAGAAAGTTCGAGGGATGAGAGAGGAGGAAGAATTCAGAATGGACGGGAGAAGAAAAAGAAGAAAAAGAGAACAAGGATTCAGAAAAAAAAAAAAAAAGATGGGAGAAAGAATAAAAGTGAAAGGGTAGATAATGAGAAAAATAAAATGAAGAAAGGGAGGGTCTGAGAAATAAATAGAAGGAGAAAAGAGAAAATTTGAAGGAATTTAAAAAAACGTAAAAAAGAATGCGGAAAGACAGAAGAGAAATATATAGAAGAAAAGAAATGTAAAAGGAAAAACAAACAGACGGAAGAAATAAAAGGAATATAAGAAGAATAGGTGAAGAAATGGGAAGAAGAGAAAAGAAAAAAAATCAGGATGCAGGAAGAAAAAGTAATAAGAGGAATGTTAGATAAACTGGAAAGAAGAGAAGGAAGGAACAGAGAAACGAAGACGGTGTTTAATTGAGGAGAGAATGATATAAAGAAACAGAATGAAAGAAAAAAGAGAGACAAGAAAGATTAGAGACACAAAGAGAGAGAGAGAGAGAGAGAGAGAGAGAAATAAAATTAGAAAGACTAAAAAAAAAAACGAAATTAATAACGACGAGAGAAAAAAAGGAAGGTGCGACCGAGCGATATCTAAACTAGATAATATATGTATTGTCATCTATAGACGGACAGTTTCGCTGTATCCCAGCTCTTCAGTGCGGTTTGACGACCGATTGCTTCAAGCTGAGATCGAAACCCAATAGATTTAACATCAGTCAGAAATCCTACCCCTAGACTATCGTCGCACGGCAAAGAAAAAAAAGGGAAAGTTTAACGTTCTTTTTTCTATACGAAATACGGAGGTGGCCCGGAGAACTCAATTCGTACTAGAGTAATGCATTAATAGCAGAAATGTAACGGGATGATATTCTCCTTACTCCAATTTTATTAATACTCAAGAATGTAGTTTTGCAATATATATATATATATATATATATATATATATATATATATATATATATATATATATATATACACTCAACTCTCCTGTCGAATTCGATGTATTAGGGTCAAACAGATCGGTTCCAAGGAAAGCGACAGCCCGACAACATCACAAGAGATTTCATTATAGTGGTGAAGGTTTTTTGCAGAACCATCCACACTTTTTGAGGGGCCGACTACAGAGACCTGGTGCCTTACGTGACACAAGGTCCCCAAACGACACTCCGCAGGTTTTGAATTCTGAGTTGTCCTTCTCCTAGACGAGTTGCCATCAAAGGCTATAGAACCCTGTCTGTCCTGCTAATTACCTATAGCTGGAGGGGAGAAGAAGTGGATTCACACCTTACCCAAGGGCACACACACATATATATATATATATATATATATATATATATATATATATATATATATATATATATATTTGTGTGTGTGTGTGTGTGTGTGTGTGTGTGTGTGTGGTGAACGTAATCAATCAATGTTTTTTTTTCTCGGAGGTTGCAGGGTGTCCAGAACTTCTAGATTCTCGCTCCCCCTACTAAATTCAGTTGCCCACATTTGCACTGTTGAAAAAGCTGGAGCCACATTTCCTCATGCAACAATTTTGTCAGCATGAATGGCAGTCGGGACTAAACCCTTTTTCTGCAACTAATTATTAATACGACGATACCAGATTTTCTCCATTTTCAGAGAAGTCGCGGCTAGTTACATTCGAAATTGTCAGTCTTAATAAGACATGAAATTAATGTATACAAGATTTCTCAGATCTGGTACCAGTCTTTCATTGTCAACATATGAACTTTCACCCCACCCGTATGTGTGTGTATATATATATATATATATATATATATATATATATATATATATATATACAAAATCTGTTGTCTTTGATATCCGTACCAAAATGAGTATTTTCGACAGATTTTACAAGAATGTAAATATTATGACCAATACAAACGAAAGTATAAAATAAACTAAAAATGATCCCTCCGGATAGTTATAAAATATCAACGTATAAGACATATTGGAATACAGATATCATCGACTACTGACTGTTTATTTCAAGAAGTTTCTTCATCTTGACGTAGAAATAAACACGGGCTAAGAGATGCAGGTGAACGCAAGCAGGTCTACGTGAATGGCCATACATAAAAGACGTCTGGCAGATAAAACTGACAGACACCAGATATATACACCTTTTTTTTTAATCGGTATCAATTCAAGCAAGGCAGTACAGCCACTAGTACAGTGTGTGGGGAAATTAAACATTAATAACATAAGTAATGTGGGGAAAGATAAAAGAACAATCAGGAGGACGGGATATAGATATTGACATTGCACTTAAACTTTGGCAGATTAATATTGTTTGGAAAGAAAGGACCTAAGAGCGAGTTCCACAAGGGAGCCGTGCAAGATACTTCTGTAGTTTCTTGATAAGATCCAGGAAAATAGCAGGAACACTGGGCAGTATATGGAAGCTTTATTCTAATGAATTCGACGAATGGTAGATTTATAGATATACAAGATACATTCAAGAGAGAAAAACTGTCTAGCCCGACACATTGAAACGACTTTCTCAGCATCTGATCTGGCGATATATTCAATGTAGTCATTCCACCTTATGTCAGCTGTGAACGTTAGCTCGATAAGGCGCAATGAAACACTTTCTTGAAGGATAGCATCAGCCATGCTGATGGAAGGCAGGGATTTGTCTCTCAGATGTTTAATGGAAAGACGTTTAGTTTTCACTATTTATTTTATTAAGACTATTGTCCTCATCTTTGTCGCCATATTTATTACAACGATTAGGCCGTTGTAAGCTCTGGCCTTCTTCGGGTGGTTGGAATGTCGAACTGAAACCTTTACTTCGCTCACTGGGGTAGACTGTTCTAGTTCCACATGTCATGTCTAACGGATGTCAGATATCAGTTATCTCCTGTTAATTCCCCACTCCAAGTTCTCCACTGCCTTAACCGGGTATTGAACTCACACTCTTTGGGTCCTGTCACTGGATCAAACCAACGCCATTAACTACTGTGCGTTGTGTCCTTGATATGGTGACAAAGATGAGGACAATAGTCCGAATAATGTAAATAGTTTACATAATACCTCATCTCAGAAATATATACCGATACTGAAAGGCCGAAACGTTGTAATAAATATGGCGACAAAAATGAGGACAATAGTCCGAATAATTTAAATAGTGTACATAATACTTCATCTCAGAAATATAGACAGATACTGAAAGGCCGAAACGTTGTAATAAATATAGCGACAAAGATGAGGACAATAGTCCGAATAATGTAAATAGTGTACATAATACTTCATCTCAGAAATATAGACAGATACTGAAAGGCCGAAACGTTGTAATAAATATGGCGACAAAGATGAGGAAAATAGTCCGAATCATGTAAATAGTGTACATAATCCCTCATCTCAGAAATATAGACAGATACTGAAAGGCCGAAACGTTGTAATAAATATAGCGACAAAGATGAGGACAATAGTCCGAATAATGTAAATAGTGTACATAATCCCTCATCTCAGAAATATAGACAGATACTGAAAGGCCGAAACGTTGTAATAAATATAGCGACAAAGATGAGGACAATAGTCCGAATAATGTAAATAGTGTACATAATACCTCATCTCAGAAATATAGACAGATACTGAAAGGCCGAAACGTTGTAATAAATATAGCGACAAAGATGAGGACAATAGTCCGAATAATGTAAATAGTGTACATAATACTTCATCTCAGAAATATAGACAGATACTGAAAGGCCGAAACGTTGTAATAAATATGGCGACAAAGATGAGGAAAATAGTCCGAATCATGTAAATAGTGTACATAATACCTCATCTCAGAAATATAGACAGATACTGAAAGGCCGAAACGTTGTAATAAATATAGCGACAAAGATGAGGACAATAGTCCGAATAATGTAAATAGTGTACATAATACCTCATCTCAGAAATATAGACAGATACTGAAAGGCCGAAACGTTGTAATAAATATAGCGACAAAGATGAGGACAATAGTCCGAATAATGTAAATAGTGTACATAATACCTCATCTCAGAAATATATACCGATACTGAAAGGCCGAAACGTTGTAATAAATATAGCGACAAAGATGAGGACAATAGTCCGAATAATGTAAATAGTGTACATAATACCTCATCTCAGAAAGATAGACAGATACAAAACGATATCTATCCTACTCGTCTTCAAAATACTCTTGCTCCTCCGACCATCCCCTTCATTATCCTTCATTAACTCTCCCCTTTTAAGTGGGCGTTGATCATTGTATTGAGTGAACTAGCAGTAAATAAATAAAATATTTTTAATAAAATGGATCTTAAATAGAAAAAGACGCTACAAGTTAAACAGGAAATTACAATCTCGTTAGGAAGTACTAAATCTAAGCAAAGTATTAAGAAAGGAAAATTTCTTTAGAAACAAAGCAAAGGGTACTTAATTGGTATTTAATATCAGTTTCCTCTGTGGCAGTGAATGTTGCACAATTTTCTCACAGATGGAGAAGAGACTTGAAGTAACAGAAATATGGTTCTACAGAAGGATGCTGAGGATAACATAGACCGAACATGTGAAAAACGACAAGAAAATGGAAAAAATAATTATAATTAACATTTCTATGGTGCATAAAGCTTAAAGAGGGCTTGGGCATTAGCATAGTCACCAGTCAGATTGAAGGCGAGGAGAACAGAGGAAAACGACACAAAACATACCTTAGAAGTTTGTGTCATTAGATGGCAGAACAACGTTTAAGAGTGATAACAAAAAACGATAAAAATTATTAGGAGCTACAAAGGAACAGCAAATTGTCGAGAGATAAATCCCCAAGTTGGCATCTACGCGGATGACACCACAATTTATTCCTGCCTCAAAAACAAATCCAGTGTCAATGACAAAACTAACCTGGCCGTGCGTCTCGAAAAGGACCTCCAATCGGTTGTGAACTGGGTCAGGAATTGGCTGGTCAACTTTAATGCTTCAAAAGCAAAACTACTCTCTATTAATCACCACAGAGATCCTTCCCTGCCCTCCATTAGAATGTCTGACGCTCAACTTCTCGAGAGGAACTCTCTGCGGCTGCTCGGTCTAACGTTGACGGCTGACCTGAGATGGAACAAATACATTGAGTCAATTGCTTCGTCCACCGCAAGGAAAGTTGGCTCCCTGTGCCGCGCCAGGAAATTTTTCTCCTCGGAATCGATCCTCCAGGTCTACAAATCAACAATTCGCCCTTGCATGGATTATTGCTGCCATATATGGTCTGGAGCTCATTATGTTTGCCTCGGGGTTCTTGATAAGCTCCAGAGGCGGATATGCAATATAATTGGCCCTGACCTGGCATCTCGTCTACAGTCACTTTCTCACAGACGCGCCGTCGCCTCTCTCAGACTTCATGAATTCAAGCACCCTACGAGACTGGCATCCCGCTCTCACCCCTTAACTGTCGAAACTCTTAAATGTAGCCGTCTCTTCTACTCCAATAGCTTCATGTCACACACCTCTCGCCTGTGGAACTCCCTTCTCTATTTCAGTTTCCCTGAGAGCTATAATATCCAGCTAATGTCGACATCTCCAATTACCTTGATTTATCCACTGCCCTTCTCCTCATCCTTTCTTCTATCACTCCTATCTGTAACCCCTTGCATCCTAGTGGCTTCCCGCCTTGCTTGGGGTGAAACGCTTAAAAAAAAAAAAAGAAATAAAAAATATGATCACCAAAGGGACACGATACATAGCAGAATAAACCCTACTCGAAACACTAATCTGGTGTCAAAAGGATTGTCGTTACTTTCATTGGATTTCACCAACAAGTAAATCTTTTGCTGAGCTTTTTTGAAGTATATACATCGTTGTATTTCGTTGTTCAAAGAGGCAGAGATTGTTTGAGACGACCGAATCTCATAATAACAAAAGAAGATCTACAGTTCCAAGATTGATTCACAAATTCAAGCTCTCTATTAAGAAATTGAATCACAAAAACAAACTGGTTTATGGCTTAGAAATGAGATTGGATCAAAAAGCTTTCTTTCAAAGAGAAGATAGTAAAAAGTACAATAAAGAAGAAGAGAAAAACTCGAATGCAGTGACAGACCAAACTAATACAAAAAAAAAAACGTTTAAAACTTGATTTCTTTGTTCGCTTAGTTGGTATTTCATCTAATTGTTCACCAAAGAACAATTCATTTAGTGCACAACAGTCCGTAAATGAAAAACAAAACTGAAAGAAAAGAGTAAATAAATAACAGAAGAAGGAATCCACGAAGAAAATCTGGAGGAATATCACCACTCCTTCGAGGAAAAATAAAGAGAAATAAACAGAAAAGAAAGATAAAGAGAAAAAAATATCTGTGAAGAGAAAGTCTTCGAAAGTAGCAATGATGATTTCTTCTGTCGTAGCATTCGTCTTTCAGGAGGGAACAATAGATTGTCTTGGAGATGTCATCCCAGTATGACTTAATGGACATTTGGATGTTGCACTGGGAGAGCAGGAATTTAAAATGACTTTCTGAAGAATTCGCAAAGACTATATTTCACTATCAGTCTTCATTGACAGGACTAATCAACTTGCAACCGATCTTGCTTTTGTTTTTGCCTGTATACTACAACATATCTTTATTTTATTGTTTCCTGGTGGCGTCTTTCAACCATAAGAAGAATCTTGACAGAAAAGTCAACAAAAAAATAAATACAATACATCAAACCTTTATTTTGTCAGCAAGATATCTGAGTATGCAAGCCGTTAAGTCAGAAGTAAAATTGTTTATGTGTTCAGATTGCTTTGTATTATATTTCTATATACTTATATTTCTATATACTTTCTTTTTCTCTTTAGGGATATTACGCCAGTAACCTTCGCTTCGGAATGACACAATTAGATTTCACTGTAGATAATAAACTGTTGAGGCATCTGGAAATAACTAATACTAAGAATAACGATACACCGTGTGTGAACATATATTCCTACGTACATATTGATCAATCGATCGATCGATTTGATTCCAAATAAATGCACCAGACAGCATAATTAAAGCGAACCTTTGCTGAGGAATTCAGATGTTGAAATGCAGATCGGGTGAGTAACACAAATAATTTCTTTTTAATTCTAAATCGGCTCAGCGGTCGTCTGTACTCCCGAGTGAGTGTCACTATGAACTAAAGATTTCTGAAATAAATATTGTTATTCATTGTTATATTTCACTTGTTGTACATCCTGCCTTTTCTACACTTATTAATTCCTTCGGTGTATTAGTTGGGTCCCATCTTTTGCTTTCTGGTCTATCTGGCGTCTTTTGAGAAATTGGAACCTCTAAAGTGTTTTAACTCTAACACGGAAATCAGAAGGTGCATTCGAATAGTGAAAGATGCCGAACAGATGGTAAGTATAATATTAAGGAACAGGAAAATTTAATTAGAAACAAGGAAAAATGTGAGGAAAAGTTAAATCTCTCACTTCAATATGGTAGACAATCTGTACCTCTGTATGGTAGACAATTTCTTCACAGATTAGGAAGAGGAGTGAGACAATGTGTTTCTACAGAAGGATGCTGAGAATACAATGGACGTAGTTTGTAAGCAACTACGAGGTATTAAGGAAAATTCAAACGAAAAGGACACTTAGAATCAGAAAAGAACAGTTGATATTTCTCGGACTGATAAATGGGTAAGCAGGCTCGGAGAATTTGACACTCGCAGGATCTACTGAATGCAAGGGGGATAAATGAAAGCAGGAATTAACGTAGAATAACGAACTTATGTCAATGAATAGCGGAACATGGAGTGAGAGGGTTTGGTTTATTTTGTTTTACGGCATATCAACCTCAATGGGTTATTTAATGCCGACAACATTTTTAGGATAGATTCGTATGAATAGAATATGTATTCTTTGGTTTAGATTGGTTTGGTTTATTTTGTTTTACGGCATATCAACCTCAATGGGTTATTTAATGCCGACAACATTTTTAGGATAGATTCGTATGAATAGAATATGTATTCTTTGGTTTAGATTGGTTTGGTTTATTTTGTTTTACGGCATATCAACCTTAACGGGTTATTTAATGCCGACAACATTTTAGGATAGATTCGTATGAATAGAATATTTTTAATGCTGGTAATATTTTGTTTTGTCAAAAATCTGTTCATGGTAATATATTTCCTTCAAAATTATATTGATGCCATGTTTAATGGATTTCAATTATCAGTTATCAAAGATATATGTCACAGTGGATAAAGGCGTTAGATCCAGTGACAGGACCCAAAGCGTGTGAGTTCAATACCTGGTTAAGGCAGTGGAGAATTTGCGGAGGGGAATTAAAAGAAGATAACTGATATCCATTAAATATGACACGCGGAACTAGAACAGTCTACCCCATTGAGCGAAATAAAGGGTTCAGTTCGACATTCCAACCACCTGAAGAAGACCGGAGCGTACAAGGGCGGAAACGTTGTGATAAATATGGCGACAAAGATGAGGACAATAGTCCGAATAGTGTAAATAGTGTATTGTTAGTAATTCTACAATAAATAGGGATAGTTGATAATTTTTTTTATATAAAAATATATTACTGCTATTTTTATTATAAATATCTATTTTCATACTTTCCCTAGCCAAGGTACCCGGCGTTGCCCGTGTGTACATGCCTGTAATTGTATAATCGTACCCCCCTGTCTATAAATATCTGCCTGCGTCCCCGCTTGCCTACTTCAACCGTTGTTATATTAAGCTACTCCCCCACCTCAGCTTTTTTACGGTATGTCCTTCGGAAGTGTTTGATTGTTCTTAATAAATGAATCGCATCGATAAAACCTTCTTGTATGGTCGTTGCTAGGGGTTGAATTGTTTCAATGCTTTACATATTCAGTAAATTTCCTATGGCCGTAATCACTTTCAAATCATATGGCATTGTTCACAAATCTAATAATCAAGGAAAAAACAGGGATGGAGCGTTAGTGTTTGATTCAAATGCAAGTGCAAACGCATGACCTCTCTCCTTCTTCGCACGTTTACTGTAAAGCTGTGGTTAATACGAAGTTCTTCGGGAATTTTGTATCCCATTTAAAGCTTCAATAATCCTCCTCAAACAACCTGCATCAAAGGTTTTTCGAATGCCAATTTATGATCAAATCATATGAAGAATCAATTGGTTAAATTGAAAAAAAAAAAAAAACGATTTGGGACTTAGTTTGTCGCAGATACCTATTTTCCCCCTTTTTTCACTTCAAGCAAGGTGGGATTACAACTAGCACGCAAGGTAAAGAGAAGGACGGGGAATAAGATCAAGGCATCTGCAGATGTTATTTGATATTGCATTTGGATAATTAAAGTTCATATCTATCAGGGAAGAAAGTAAGAGGTAGGGAGTTTCAAAGAAGGGAAGTGCGAGACATGAATATAACAGAAGTAGTCTGTATCTACTCAATCGGTGTTAACCGAGGATATGAAGGGGTAAAACAAGCAACACGAAGACCCACTTTAGACCACAATTATTTTGGAGATTTTGAAATTCAATTTGTCAGTGTGCTACTAAGGATGTAAAAGAGGATAAATTCATAAAGCAATTGTTAAGTTTGATGAAAATTGGTTAAAAGATCAGCGAAAAATAAGAAAGAAACCAGTAAAAATCCTCATTTTTTACTATTTATGCGGGATTTCATTATATGGGTGGACTCCATTATAAAGTTAAATGACTGTTGAACAATTAACTTTAATCGAGTGAAGTTTGTATTAGATTGTTTGAAAACTGAGGGAGTTTTTAGTTTAAAATTTGTGTTGAAATTGATTTTTCGTGATTTTTCGCTAAACGCAGTGAACAATGTGGTATCGCTGAGCTCGTCATGATGTATGTAACCTACATACCGAGTTTGAACAAAATCGTAGGAAAAAAAGTTTAATTTATCGATTTTTGATCAATTTTATTGATTATCAATTTTTTAAAATTGATCCATATTTTTTACGCTAAGAACCTATCTCCTACATTGTACAATGTATGTGCCAAGATTTGTCACAATTGATTGGATGGATCTCGAATTAAAATGTATCACACACACAGACAGACAGACACACAGACATCCTCTGTTTTAGATATATAGTGTTTTGTTTTTGTTTGGGGGTTCACAATTGGCCCAGAGCAAGGAGCCTAACAGGTTCTACCTCCCGGATTAGTGTGGATTTGGGAACAACGGTAATTAACAGGTGATTTCACGCTCCTAAAAACCTCCAGTCTCCCGATCAGAGGTCTTGCTGCTGGATGTAGTTTATCATCATACACAGGACTGTATTACGGTCAGGTTTAAGAGAAATTATCCATCTTTTGGTTGCTACGTTTGTTTTCATGATAAGATAAATATTTTTGGGGACGATTTCGACACGGATTTTGTCATAATAATCATACGGAAAATAATAACTATAAGAAGTAGCCTAAATATAGCATCATTTTTAAAGAACAGAAGAAAGAATGTTATATTCCCCATGACATAATGATTAGAATATAGTCAATAATTATCTTCGTGTTAACGCGAAATTAAAGCAGTCTTGAGTTGACTTTTTAAAATTATCGTAAAATCTTCAGCAAAAACTTATTTCTGTTATATTGAAACTAAAACCACTTGAAGGAAAAATAATCTCTCGAATCGTTTCGTTTGAAACTATAAGTAATTAGTCAATAAAGAATACTAATTTTATTCGAGATAAAATCACTCTTTAAACGCTAACCGTTGACTTCGCGTCTCATAGACTAATTAATTGAAAATTGTAAATACCTAATTAGTGACGAACTGATAAGAGTTTCGCAAGAACTGAACATAAAACGAATTAGTAAAAGAATTCAATTTTATCTGAGTTTGTCAAGGCAAATGTGTACGAATGCACAGAGCCATGTTGGATTAATTCAATTTGGGGTGAAAAAGAAATTGAAATGAAAGCCTGCACAGGTCAAGGCTACAAATATGAAACTAATTTCCTATAAAAGCGAAGTTCTAACGAGAAACCAGGGGAATTAAAAAATATAAAATTGATAGGAAATGAGTGCTTTTCCAAGAAATATACAGTTTGAAGTCACTTAGATATGATCTGACGAAAAATTTGTCAGACATATTTGTCCTCAGAATTTAAAAAAAAAAGACAAAAAACAAAATTAGGCTTTGATGTGAATATATTTTGCTCTAAGCCCAAAACACACATTTTTATATTTGTTTCAGGAGCTTAAATCCTTCTATGAAGAAGACACCAATACTTGTCTCCCCCTGGAACTACTCTACAATAAAGAGTGATGGTTGAACCTCAAATAAGTAGAGAAATCGAATTGCTTTGAATCAAGCTTCATTACAAGCTTAAACGATCGCCTTTTTTTTCACATTTAATCTCGTCTGACAGATTTGCGCTACAAAATCATATACAACTAGTTTTACCAAATAACAAAAGTCACATCACTTGAAGACGTCCAACAGGAACAAGAGCAAAAACAACAAG